TATATATATATATATCGTCAAATAGAACTGCCCGGTAAACCGTAGGCAGAGAGGGAGAAGAGGACTTATATATATGAGTCGATGAAACTCCGACGAAACAGTTTGTCACAGCCCCTCGTTTGTTGTCCTCTTCTCCCTCCCCTCCCTCTCGGCCTACGGTTTACCGGGCAGTTCTATTTGTGACGATATATATATACGACTCGGATAATGTTAGTCGCTAACCCCTCTAAAGAAGTGGGGCTCTCTAAGTGGCTGAAGGCAGCTTGGGACTATGATGGAGTTGGAAAAACGGTCTGGGCCCGGTTCCCAGCACGTGCTGCTCCCCACGAATAGACTGGAGCATTTGTCGGAAAAAAAAAAAAAAAGAGAGCTGGAAAAGCGGTTTGGTGGTGGACAGGTCGCTTTTTTGCAAAGTCCATTATGGAGGCCCCCTGTTTAACAATGCAGATTATCATCGCCAACAAAATGGGAACCCCCCAATGAAAAGGCTGACCCCCTTCTTATACAGTGTCCATGATTTCAAAAAAAAAAAAAAAAAAAGCCTTGAACAATCACAAGAGGACCCCTCTTAGAGGGGTCCACTGTGTAAGCCTTAGAGGAAGTTAGGAGAAGTGGTAGGTAGGTAGGTGGTGAAGGTGAGTTGAAGGAATTTGAAAGAGGACGAAAGATTTGAGAGAGGAAAATAGCGTAGTTAGCTAGGCTAGCACCCGGGCCGCCTGGGTCACCCTATTTTTCCGGGCAGCCCAGCCATGCAAGGACCAGGGAAGGTCGCAGCCAAAAAAAAAATTAAAAACAAAATCAAAAGAATCCGAAAAAAAACTATGTTATGCAGAAAAACAAACTGAACGACTTTTGCCTGAGGGTCGCATCGAAATTCTTTTCCAAATTTAAAATAAAAATTAAAATTAAAAAATATGTTTTTTATTATTTTTTATTTTATTTTTCTATATCTTTTTGCCCCTGCCGGGCAAGTGGACCCGGGCCACTCTGGTAGCCTAGGTAGTTAGGGAAAAAAATAATAATAATAATAAAAAAAGACACACACACACACGCAAGAGAGAAGTGTTTATTATTTCTCAGACATGTCTGTTAACCTCTTTTGCCACACCTTATGCCGAAATTGGCTTTTTTTTTTTTTTTTTTTTTTTTTTTTTTTTTTTTTTTCAACGGTTACTTGTGTCCTCAACCTCGACGAGAAGAGTTCGGTGGGCTTCTCTAATCAGATTCAAAATAGCTATTGCTCCTCCGGATTAGAGATGGAGACCTGCCGTTAATGTTTAAAAAAATTATGAAAACAAAGAGAAACAAGTCCAGAAATGTGGAAAAAAAACAAAAAATAATAATATGTCGTGCAGTCATGTAATATGCCATGCAAAATTGCAAACTGTGCAAGTATCTTTGTGGGCTTATATGCAAAGTTGCAAACTGTGCAAGTATCTTTGTGGGCTTATATGCAAAGTTGCAAACTGTGCAAGTATCTTTGTGGGCTTATATGCAAAGTTGCAAACTGTGAAGTATCTTTGTGGGCTTAACGGCTTAACCTGTTCTTTTGTCCGTGCTCTGGCCGGATCCCACAGTCCATCATGATGCAAAGATTACGATATCTGCCTCCATTTTGATGCAAAGATTGCGATATCTGCGTCCATTTAGGACCCCACCATGCCAGGTGGGTGGAAAATTTTGTATAACTTAAGCCACCCGCAATTTTCCCAGCCATTTTTTCAAAGTCGCGTTACGCATGCAGCCACAATGTTCGGGGATCACTGCAGCCTCCGAAGCAAAATCGCTGGTGATGCTGGCCAAGAGGAGGCCTGTGTCGGATCCTTTTCTTTTTGGCCCACAGGGCGCTTCCCGCCCCGAAGAAAAGTGCCTCGCAAGTACTGGTGGTTTCAGAAGACAGGACCTGGAAATCCATATGGACTCCTGAAAAAAAAAAAAAAAAACGAAAAAAAGAAAGCAATCCATAATTGTATGGACTGGCAATCCCACCCAGTGTCTCCCATGGTCTTGCCAAATATAAAGTACTGTCCTGTTGACACTTCACACGATGCATCATGTCCGTACACTTACAAGTTGATGCACTTAAAAAAAAAAAAAAAAAAAAAAAAAAAAAA